TGCTATTTTTGGACAAAATTGTTGCAGGTTAATACAGTGAGTTCCCTGTTTCAGTGAATGATTGGCTAAAGGCTGGGAAACAAGAGGTGGGAATAAATGGTCAGATTTCAGTGTAGAGTGAAACCACCAGTTGAGTCCCATAAGATCTGTCCTGTGGTGCTCACCTGTTTTTCTGGATCATTTCTCAATCAGTTGATGGTTTGCTGTTGATACTGTTTTTTTCAGAATAATAAAGAGAAAGGGAATGCTAACCATAAATAGCTGTAGAAATGTTTGGAGTGTGGTAGTTCTTGTGTGTGATGTGGAAAGGTTGAGCTGGTTGGCTGAAGTTTATGCACAGCATTGTGAGATTTAAGCTGTAGACATTTAGGAATGAGATTTGAAGATAGCAATAGCTGTTGATGTTGAACCATCAGCTTTGTTTTCAGTACTGGTTAAAACAGTGAGTTGAACTTGAGGCATTATTAGGAAATTAATACATCACAAAGTCGGAATGCTGGTTCTGCTTATCAAAGGAGATGGCAGCAAAAGCAGAAGGCAAAGGAGAAGGTCAACAGGGATGAACAAAACCATGGGATGGCTTCTAGGAGGATTCACTGAATAAGGCTCTGCCAGGAAGGAGGTAGCTGGAGAGGGCAGAAAATAGATGGATGTCAAATCTGTTCTGCTGCAGGGTTTTTTGATAACTAAACCCACAGGAAGCATAGAAACCTCCAGACAGCAATACATCCTCATTTACATGTCAAGTTATTTGATTTCCACGTTAAATTATTTTTATAGCATCTAATATAGTTCCTCTCTGACTGGGAGTAACTTGACAGTTATTTTAGGCCGTTTTTTTTAGGCCTCTGTTTACTTTTTATTTTCCAGAAGATAAACTTGAGAAACCAGAGAAGCCTGTAAACGGAGAAGACAAAGGTGACTCAGGTGTTGATACCCAAAATAGCGAAGGGAATGCTGATGAGGAAGATCCACTTGGACCCAATTGCTACTATGACAAAACCAAATCCTTCTTTGATAACATTTCCTGTGATGACAATAGGTAAGGCCTGCAAGGAGAAGCTTGTTAGTCTGCTTAATGCATGTTTATGTCATAAGATATTGCAGTGAGTAGCACTGACAGTCAGCTCTTGAGTCGAAGGTGATTAGAGCTTATTTCCACATGCAGCTGGCAAAAATAAAATGGGAATAAGAAGTGCAAAATTTCTCTGTGGGCAAGTGCAGTATGGTCATGGGAAGGTATTTTAACGTGTTTTAGAGCCAGGCTTTAAGAACTTAATGCACAGGCTCTAGAATCTCCTTTCCAGATTTACTAAGATGTGGAGGGTTTGTTTGTTTTGCTTTGCTGCTAAATTAACACTTTAGTTAAATCAATTACGACCCTGCTTTGGTAATGGTTCCTAAGCAGGTTACATAACTGTCTCGGCCAGTAGTGCTGTTCAAATGGACAGATAGCATTTCAGGAAAATTAAAGCTTATCTTTTGCTGCTGCCTTTTTATTAGACACCATGATGTGGATTGCTGACCTATTTTAACTTGCAGGAGGGGGAGTTGTTGGTTGTACTCACAGCCAGATAAAATAACATCTGTAACCGCAAACTGGTTCTTGCGTGCAGAGGATACAGAGTGTGCTTTTCAATATGGCAAACTCTTCGAGCATTATTAATATCTAATTAATGACTCTGCACCATATTCCTTCTCGATGAGCCCAGTGAACTGTGGCAGACACCTGGGTTCTTGTGCAAGGGATGCTGTGCAGATTTACCGTGTGATTCTCGGAGGGCGCTGTCCCTCCCTTCCCAAGCGTTTCAAGCCATCCCGTTGGTTCTGTGCTGCAGGGAGCGGCGACCCACCTGGGCCGAGGAGCGGCGGCTGAACGCCGAGACCTTCGGCATCCCCCTGCGCCCCAACCGCGGCCGCGGCGGCTACAGGGGCAGGGGCGTCATCGGCTTCCGAGGGGGCCGGGGCCGGGCCGGCGCCCGGGGCGCCTTCCCCGCCCCCCGCGGCTTCCGCGGCGGATTCCGAGGGGGCCGCGGCGGCCGCGAGTTCGCCGACTTCGAATATAGGGTAAATAAAGTGCTCGTGTTGTTCCTCTGACCCGCCCGCTGCAACCCCTGAGCTTAGATTTGATGGTGAACTAGAGCTTCTTGCTAGGACTAGAACTGCTTTGCAGGGCTCTGAGCTACTTTTTTGAAAATCCATTAATGCTGAAATTTTAGTTACATGGCATCATTTTACTATCAATAGCCAAAAGTATAGTTTGCCTTTCATCACATGCCCTGAGTGACATCTACTATCAGGAAGGAGAAGAAAAAGAAGTTCTACACATTGAGTGCAAGTGTTAGAGATGTAAATTGCAAGCATTTTTCCAAGTTTTGTGCTTACATTTAGCAAGTTAAATTATTCCCTCTCATCATTTATATTTTAAAATATAAAGGATGAGAGGGAATGATTTAACTCGCTTCCATTGTGCATCAAACTTTTGAATTCTTTGTGAATGAACAAATCTTATAGACTGGTATACTGGTTAGAATCAGACAGCTATCCAGATTGATTCAGATAAACTGGGCTTTTAGAGTTTTGACTGGGACAGAACAACTTCTGCTAGTTTACTGCATGAGCAGTTAGAGTTTTGCAAACAAGAATATCTGATTTTTTAATCGAAATTTTAATTTTTTAATGAAAAAACTGGAGGGTTATGTCACAGTACATTTCTCTCTGTTGTGAGAGAAACATCCCTCAGTTTTTCCTTGATTAGTTTTCAACAGTTAGTCCTACCACTTAAAGAAACTTTGGGTAGCTGAATGTGAATGGAAATGAGGGATGGAAGATCAGCAATTTGAATTTCTGAACGAGAGTTTTGCTGCTTTCCAGTTGAGTAGGAGGTGGTGCAGGGGCTGAGGATTTGTGCTGTGCTTTGTGTTTGGGGCGATGAGCTGCTCTGCTCAGTGCCAGACTGAGGGGGTTTCACCAGATGCCAGCCTGATCTCCTCTGAGGTCTCCTTTCTGCTGCAGGACATGGGGAACAGCCAGCACAGCACAACTGCTCCCAGGGCTGTTGCCCAGATGGGTTTGTAGGGTTTGTTTTGCAAAATGAATTTTCATTCTGTGCTTTTGTTCCCTCTAGAAAGACAACAAAGTTGCTGCGTAGTCTACAAGAAAGCTGCAAACCAGGTGAACGTCTAGATCTTCTTGAATCAGAGAATTAGTTTTGATCTCTGCAAAGAATGAAGTTAATTTGCTGTATACTTGTCACCAGCACTGGGATTTAACTATTTAATTTCAAAGGGGTGTAATGCAGTTACTTTTGAGAAATGGCCATCTTTGAAAACAAGTAAGCATTAAATATATTTGAGACAGAAGGATAAGTAATTTCTTATGTATAGTTAATTATAAGCAGTACTTCGATGGAGTTTTAAGTATTTTTTCATCACTGAAAGGATTTTTCTTATTACTAAACTGTATTTGATAATTGCTTCAAGTTGTAAGGACAATGGTATGCAGAAGGCCGTCGATACTGTGAGTGTTTTGACCCACCGAAGGTTGTTTTTTGGAAATCCTGTAAAATCCCTTTTGAGGTAGTTGTTCTTGTATCAACTAGGGTGCTGGACAGTAGAAAACTTGCTTTGTCAGTCAGATATGTACACACAGTAAATACTGTTTCTTAGGCAAAGGAAAGTTTTTATATAGTTGTAAAATTCCATTATATCCCATTGCCAAAGAAACATTACAAACTTTGTATAGCTGTATAAAAAGCAACTAATTTTTTAAAGAATAAACATTTTTAAGTCGGTAAACATACTGTTATTGCAGAAAGTTGATATGCTGAAGAACACTGAATTAGTTGGGTTTCTTTTTCTTTAGCAGCTTTTCAAGCTTAAATGTTTGATTTTATATTTGGACTATAATGAAGTTTTGAAAATGTTCTTCCATTACACAAAACTGGATACACACTTTACTGCTCTTGCAAGAATTTGATTTTGTAGTTTCTGGTATATCACAGGATTTGACCAAGTTAAGGAGATATTTTCAAAAAAAAAAGGAGAAAAGGAATTTTCATATGTCAAGATTTGCAATTAATTTTACTTAGTGAGAAATATTAACTTTTTTTAATAATGGACCAGGCACAAGAGTTGGTGATTCTCCTGGAATGCCTGGGGTAAAAGTCTGTCTCCATTTGTCAATTCTTGAAACGTTAACTTTGTTGTAATATCTGTAGACATGAGCAATTTAAAGAATTCTTAGTGTTTGAAGTTGTTTGCATTTTGATAGACCGTAGCTTGGAGACATTGAGACTCTGGTTCTAAGACCACGAAGTCACAAATGACAGTACGGACTTTTTGCCAATTCTGGATAACTAGTTGCAATTTTCTGATATGCTGAAATAGAAACCTGGTCATTTGTGTCTGTGTATGTATATGAAGGCCACAGGAATAAAGGGATCCAAAGATTACATCACTTTGATCTAATTTGCTGATTTATTTTTTTTTTTACTTCAGAATGTTCAGTGGTGATAAAGACGTGAAAAAACTGCACTGTTGAAAAATTGGAATATTTAAAAGTGGTTGATAGAATCTTAATTTTATAACTTTTGTATAGCACTACAAGGAAGTATTTTGTAATTGGTTTCCTTATTAAGGTCAAGTATTTGACAGCCGTAGAAGTTAGATAATATTGTTTAGTAATGTTTTTGCATGTTTAACAACTGCCTTTTGGGATCCACAAGTCATGATTCTGAACACCTGTTGAGATTTTTGACCGTAGAGGCAAGTGCTGTCCTGTTGCAATAATTCTTTACTGTCTGAGGTGTTCCAGCTGTAAATACCCGGGCCGGGAGCCGCGGCCGGGGCTACACCAACCCTGCGTAGGCCCGGCCCGCCCGGCCAGGCTTTCTGTTTTTTTATTTTAAACCAGAATAAACTGTTCAGTACAAGCGGCACGGCGGCGCTCCTTTGTTGCGCGGGGCGGGCGGGGCGGGGCGCGGGGCGCTCCCGGCGGCGCATGCGCGGCGCAGGGGCGGGGCCGCAGCCCCTCAGCCGCAGCCGCCATGTCCGTGGCGTTCGTGCCCGAGCGGCTGCGCGGGGCGGCCGAGGTGAACCAGGAGACGCTGCAGCGGGTGAGCCACACGGGGCCGGGACGGGGCTGGGGCTGGGCCGGGACCGAGCCCTGCCGGCCCGCTTGGGGCAGAGCTGGGGCGGGCGGTGACGGTGTCTGTGCCGCAGCTGTTGGAGGAGAACGACCAGCTGATCCGGTGCATCGTGGAGTACCAGAACAAGGGCCGCGCCACCGACTGCGTGCAGTGAGTGAGCGATGGGCGGGCAGGGGGAGCGCTGTGGGCAACGGCAGCCAAACGCGGCTCGAGCTCCTGGAGCTTTCCTGCCGCCACCCGGAAGATGCGGCTGGCCTTACGAAGGGATTTCACCAGAATCATTTCAGTCACGTATAAAGCACGGATGGACCCTGCCGCCTTGGTCAGGGTGTTTGCTCGGTGCTCCTGGACCCGCTCTGCCCTCAGTGCCCGTGTGTGCACACCCGGCCGGCGGCTCTGCCGCTCCAGCACCTGCGGGGAGCGCTGCGGCTGCTCAGGCCCGCCCGGCGGGCAGCTCTGAACTGCTCCGCTGCGGCTGTCTGGCTGCGAGCTCAGTGCCCGCCTTCCCATCCAAGCTGGGTAGTATCACATGCTCGGCTACCGAGTACAGCTCAGTGCCTTATACTGGCCTTCAGAATGAGAACAGCCCTGATTTATTATTCTGGTTTGCTTTCTTTTTCCCTAACTGCAAATACTGATCAGAGTACACGAGTGCGAGTACGGGGAGTTGTCTAGAAAAGAACGTTTTCCAGACCCTGTGTTTCCTCCTCTCACAGGTACCAGCATATCCTGCACAGGAACCTCATTTATTTAGCGACAATTGCTGATGCCACCCCGCCCAGGACGCAGAAGCCTGTAGACTGACAGCAATAACTGGATGTGACCAGTGCTGCTTTCAGAGACTGTAGAAATAGTTTAGAGTCCTGCTTTGAAAAACAAGAAGGTGTGGGTTTGAAAAAAGCAGGTAAAAAGTGATCTGTATTTGTGTGTTTAAAATGTGAATGTAGTTTTCAGTGTAGTATTAGGCCAGCTTTTCCCCTGTTACTGTAACTAACACAGCTTAAGAATGATAATTATCACATTCCCTTTTCCCTCTGAAAAACTCAATTCAGTGTACTTCTGGGAATAGCCTGGTTGTCAAGCACTATGGGAAGCAGAGCCCATTTCATGAGTAAGGTTCTATAATAACAAGGAAAATGTTACTCTAGGTGAATCCTGCCTCCAACATGACATATATAAAAGCAGTAAACTCTTGGATCCTGTAGCAGAACAATTGTGCTAAATAAACTAAATATGTTCTTTGTAAATTGTAGTATATTCTGAATTAATATAACAGATTAACAAAAGAGCTGCTCCATGATTTAGTCAAACAGAAATGTCAACTTTCCTAGGACTGGTGGGATTGCCCCACCACTCAGCAATTATGTGTAAGGGAGAAACCAAGGGATTATTTTAGAAGCTTTTGCCCAAGTTTATTAAGGCTTTTTCTCTGTGCTTGATATGCTCTGTAAACAAGTCAATTCTTGCACAGTCAGAATGGGTTCATGTGCTTCCTGGCTACTGTCAGCACTGCTGGCCAGCTGCATGTGTGCTCCTCTGCAGTAAGGGAAAGCAGCTTTGCACACCCTGCATAGGCATTCCAGTGCCACGTTAACACACACTGACTGAACAGTCTTGGTCACAGCAGAGGGGACTGAGTTTACTTTTGGCTTACTACCATTAGTTACTGACTCTCTAAAAATTCAAATATTGTGATTTTGGCAATGTTTACCTGCACTACCGGTTCAACGACCCTGCTGAGGCATTGTCTGTACCACATTCTTCTGTGACATCACCTGAAAAGCACCTTTAAAGATTGGACTGTGCATAAAGTTCATTTTTATATGATAGAGTCAGTAAGTAGGCAGTTGACAATTTTCAAACTGTTAAATAATCCCATGTTAATGTAATAAGATCTTTACAAACCGAAGTTACAGTTTAAGGTGCTGCTCATTTTCAGCAAGGTGCATATTTTAAACAGGTATGACCTATTAAATGTTTATCTTTAATAAAGCAAATAGTTTACTTTTACAGAAGCTTTAAAATACAAACTGTACAGTTCCAGTTCAGAAGCGTTAGCTATTCACAAGAAGCACTGCAATAAGGGTAAGTTAACTAAGCACCAAACCCTTGCACTTGGCAGTGTAAGTGAAGTTTAAGGGCAAGACTCATTTGCCAAGTGCAACAATTCTTAAAATTACCAGTGTTCAGAACAATCGGAAGCAAAGGACAGAGTAGCACCCACGTGGTCAAAATGCAGACAAACTTTCTTTGTGTTCACAATTCACTTATGTAGGTCCAGAAACTTGCCAGCATTTGTAATTATGAATAAACTGCAAAAACTATAGCAATCATTTTGGCACTTGTTAGAAAAAAAGTTCAAAATTAAGTGTTTTCATTAACTTCCATTTTGGTCAGTATGAATAACCAAGTAAGTACAACCAAATTTGGGATTTAATATTAGATCTAAACAACAAGATTTAGGAAACTCGAAACCATTCATGAAGTTAAATAACCACTAACATTTTCAGTGGAAGGTTTTCAAAATCATAGTAGTACAGACCATTAACAATTTACAGACAGAAGCCACACTGATTGTGCAAAGCACATTACTGTAAAAAGTCTATGTACAGCAAACAAATCTTTGTAAACATGGTAAGTATGAAGTTTCAGAAAACATGGTGACAATATCATAAATACAGGCAACATTGGCATCCTCAAACAGCACAAAAGGTAACAATCTGGGCCTGCAAATAGAGCCCGTCACCATACAAACAAAAAAGGTGGATGGGTTTTAAATACCCAAATGTTTAATAGTTTTAGTGTTGTGTATACTTTTTATTTATATATATATATATATATATATAATGTATTTATTTTTTGGTATCTTCAGATATAGATGTACTTAGTTTGTAAAACCAAAACCAAAAAATGTGCTTTGTCTTCATTGAAAAATTATGTAGTTAGAACTAATAACCCATTTTACTAGTAGTTAACATATTAGAATGATATGACTTAAGAAAAATACAAAAATAAGATTAATACTGTCAAAACTCTTATACCAGAAAATATTGTGGTTTTTAGACTCTTTCAAAGATGAAATATGAAAATTTAAATAAGCTCTAACTATATAAAGAATCTTCTGTAATCTCAATTCATATACAGTGGGATAGGTATACATATTTACCATTGTTCTTGAATTTGTAAGCACCAGTCACTCGCCCCCATCCACTTTGGTTGGAAGATTATTCCTAATTCCACAGGTTCACTTAATGGCACATATTGACTGCAAATAATTACTTTATCCTTTTAAAAAAAAATAATGTTCTTTTAACTAACTGCTACCCCACATTTCAGTTTTACTATCTTCTGAGCCAGCTCACAATTTTTAATCAACTGTAGCATCTGAAATAAGACTTTAAATAAATGCAAGTAGTCTCTTAGGCTTTGCTTTCACACACTGCAGGAGCACCTTGTGGAGAGTGCCTTTGGCCAAATGCAGCCAGAGGGCAGGGTCTGTGTGAGAACCAGGGTCCCAAAATGTCCACACAGGTGTGTGAGAACCAGGGTCCCTCTGTGCACACAGGTGTGAGAAGCAGGGTCCCAATGTCCACACAGCTGTGTCAGAACCAGGGTCCCAATGTCCACACAGCTGTGTCAGAACCAGGGTCCCAATGTCCACACAGGTGTGTCAGAACCAGGGTCCCTCTGTCCACACAGCTGTGTCAGAACCAGGGTCCCAGTGTCCACACAGGTGTGAGAAGCAGGGTCCCTCTGTGCACACAGGTGTGTGGAACCAGGGTCCCTTTGTCCACAGAGGTGCCATCCATGTCAAGCAGCCCAGGTCACGTTGACAACACAAGCCTGAGTGGTTCTGCTGATCTTCACCAAGAGGAAGGAAACTGTCACAAAACTCAGTTTTGTGACTGTTTCTGCAGCAGTTCCCAAATGAACTCGCTTGTGTAGCACAGCAAAAGCTGCTGTTGCACTTCATTGTAAAAAAGCTGCCCACAGGCTGTAATGGAGAATACAAAGGTTCTGTAGCTTGTCCTTTATAAATTTAAACACAGTGTTGAGCAAAGTGACCACTATATATTTGCTTCAACATATTCAATGTGTTTCAGTAAGATGTTTTAACTATAAATCTATATGAAAAATAGCTATAAAATACAGTGTTTCTTGTATGGTAGTCCTTCAGCAGTTCTTTTTAGAAAAAAAAAAATGTCTTGAAAGTAAAGGCAATTACACATTTTTAAAAGCATTTCTACATCACAGTTTTGGGCTGTTTCATGTACACCAAACATATTGGCCATATTTGCTCAGCACTGTAACTCAGAATCCGAGAGTTTGTCTATCTCACCCAAACCCCCTCAATGCCACATGGAGAGAGAAACAGGATATAGCCAACACAGCACTGCGAATCCAAGTAAGGTGATTTCCATTTGGCCCTGTGCTGCATGTCGCAGTAGGAGCAGCAGTCAGTACTGGTGCAGGTAAGATGGTCTGCGCTCGTGCTTCACTGGGAAGGATTTAAAGCCCTTGTTGATCTGTTTGTGCTGGGAGGCCTGCTGGGACTGCTGCTGCTGCTGCTGCTGGGCGTAGGCGAAGCTGGAGGAGAGCCCGGCGGGGCCGCACTCGCTGGCCCACAGGGGCGACTGCAGCATCTGCATGGTGTCACTCCACTGGCCCACGGGGCTGCTCATGGGGTACAGCGACGTGCTCTGGCTGGGCAGCGTGCTGGGCACAGAGCACGTGTGCTGCCACGGCGCCTTGGGGGGCCACGTTTTGGTCTTGTTGTCCTGAGAAAACAAAATCGGTTAGGGTGCTCTGCTTTAACAATAGAACGCTGCTTTTTTAGACAATACTTAACGTGTCACCTTATCACCTCCTTGAGATATTGTCACAAGATTAGTTTATATTTGAAAGCCTGTGACCGTGTTCGCAGGGGTCTGAGGATGAGGGAAGAGATGAGGATCTGACTCCATGTTTCAGAAGGCTTGATTTTTTATTTTATGATATATATTATATTAAAACTATACTAAAAGAATAGAAGAAAGGATTTCATCAGAAGGCTGGCTTAGAATAGAAAAGGAATGATAACAAAAGCTTCTGTCTCAGACAGACAGTCCGAGCCAGCTGACTGTGATTGGCCATTAATTAGAAACAACTACATGAGACCAATCACAGATGCACCTGTTGCATTCCACAGCAGCAGATAACCATTGTGTACATTTTGTTCCTGAAGCCTTTCAAGCTTCTCAAGAGGAAAAATCCTTAAAAAAGGATTTTTCATAAAAGATGTCTGTGACAAAAGCCAAACTGATGCCTACATATAGCACTCTCAATTCTTAAAAATCTGCTCGTTAAAAAACATTGACTTCAGCTTGACACACAGTGGCCCCACTGAAAAAGTAAATGACTTCCAATTTTAATACATGAAGCTTGGTGGCTGACAAAAGCACCTCCCGCTACTTGAGTGCAGGTGGTTTAGGTTTCCAGTGAAGTAAGCAATGTGGAGATGCAGATGCTTTCCCAGCTGACTGCCTCCTGCACACCCACCCAAGGTTCCACCAGCACAAGGGACTGAGCCAAGCCCTGCTGAGCTCACCTGACTGCGGTCATCTGCTGCAGAGAGCAGGGGAGGCGATGGCAGCGTGCTGGGCTCCTGCTCACCACTGCTGTGTTTTCTGCAGGAAGAGACACACATTGACTTGTTGGTTTAAACGAGTCACCCTCATTCATCTGCCACTGGCACACATCAGACAGCCTACAGTACTGTTTTCAGAAACATCTGGTTTCATGTACTTCTTGTTCAGTACAGGTAAAAGCAACAATACAGAAACTGTCAGGGACATGACAAGGCACTAGTTCTTGGAGCTACAGCTTCAACATTTCTGTACAGGTGAAAGGAAGCTTTTGCCCACTTTCAAGAAATCTGCCAGAAATTGTGTTTTTACTTCTGTTACCTGCTCTTATGGCTAGGTTTCTTTTGGGTTTTTTAAAGTATCTTTTCTGAAATAACCTTACAGATAAGACAAAACACCAGTTGAGGAAGTGAAACATCTGCTGAAGCACAGTAATTTTACTGAAGAAAAATGTTCTACCTTCAGTTTAAATTTGTGACCTAATACTGAGTTATCAAATAGAAGTTCTTGACCACATGTTCATTCTGGAAGACTTTTTTTCTTGGATTTTTTTGTCTTTTTTGTTTGTTTGGTTGGGTTTTTTTAGGAGGAGCGATTAAGGGCATGGGTTTAGATTAAAGCAG